TTGCGGACGCGGCTGCGGATATTCCCAACCCTATGTATGTCCGCAGTGCAGGTAAAACCCTTCATACCGTCTGTAATAAAAAAGGGAGAAAACATCACATGCATGATCTGATACAGAATGCAGAGTTTTTGTCATTGTATATTTTTTTTTCAATTTGTCTCACTGGTCATGGAAATCAGGTCGTCATCATCTGGTCAAATTACAATGATTTGATGTTTAATTTCAACATGTCTTTATCAATTATGCGAATGATTAACAACTCTACATTTACAAAATATACATGTATGCACACTAGTGATGTTAACCTTTAAACGTGCACATGTCCCGTGGTACAAAATTCCCATCATTCACCATTAAAAAATTGTCGAACTTTAACATCTATTATACAAATTAGGTGATTATTTGCATAATTCGTATCTGTTGATGTTCCACCTGCCATAAAAACTGACATGAGTTTGGTCCCCCTATCAGCTCAATCTGGAACTGCAGGGCAGTTTGTTTAAAAAATCTTCGAGGGAGGATAACTCAAGAACCGGCTTGCCGATTGTTGTGATTTTTCGTACGTAGATAGCTTCATAGATTGTTGACATAACTGCATGTAGATGATAATTATATGGAGCTAATTTGCATAATCAATGAGAAATTGCTATAAACCTGCTGTATCCCTTCCAAAATAGTGGCGTAGTGGTAGAGTGCGCAACTCGGAACTTAGAGTTCCGGGTTCGAGTCCTGACATGCCACCGATCTTGTGCCCTTGGGAAAGGCACTTTACACGACTTTCCTCACTCAGCTCAGGTGTAAATGAGTATTGTCCTGTCATGTATTTGTCCCCTGTGTTGGTGGCGGCATTAATATAAGTTGAAAAAAAAACTTGAGTGTGTCGTCACCACGTCTGGTGATTACATGTTGGAATAAAAAAAAAGGCCTATGGAACACTTCTGACATATGTAATTGTGAATGTGAGGGACATCTAAATATTTAGATAACGTAAATGAAGATCTAGTTTGCAAGAATAATGTTAATTTACTAAAAATCCATAGTGGTAACTGCCAGGCAGCTCATACTTGCCACATTTAAAAAGTTAGTCAAGGTAAACACCAATAAAAATAATTTATTCAAATCATAACCTCAGTTGTATAATTTATGAGGAAGTGCTAGATTAAACAGTAATATAATTTCCCCACCCTGCTGATATAATATTCGCTAACATAAACTACAAGGCTTCAGTATTGTCCTGCCAGTCGTGTAGTGTACACGAGGTGAAGCCTGGATAAGACAGTTTAGCTTGCGAAGTACAAAGTACATCATCATCCGTCGTCCCTGTTGGGCGGGGTGAGTTGCTGCACGACCGTACTCCACAGGGATCTGTCCGCCATGGTTGATTTGAGGTCTTGTATATCAAATCCCGTGTCTCTGGAGATGGTTCTTGGGTAGGTCAGTTTTCTAGTATAGGTTTTCCCGCTAGGCCTCCAGAGAACAAGTGACGAGATGATTTCTCCGCTTGCCCTAAAGCAGTGACCAGCGAATCGAAGTACAAGTTATTCTTCAAGACACTCTTGGAATGACACAGCAGTTAAAAACTTGCCAACTTGCACATAAAGCTTGCACTTGTACTTCTCAACCACATGACACCATATTGTGGGTGAACGTCAGCTTTTACCTTTGGTTTTAAAAATAGTCCAAATAACAATATACATCACCACTAAATCATCACAACTGACTGCATGCATAGGACGTTGGACTATACAGTCCACCGTAACGGCTACGCCTAATTAAGTGTCAATAAACTTGTTATCTTTTGACGTTTGCCCCTTTCTGTATGTGTCAGCGAATGTTTTTTTCTAAACATTGACGACTGTCATAATAACGCCGGCTGCATGGTTAAAAGGGCGTAACTAATATTACTGGGTGATTGCGTAAGTTAGAAACAAAAAAATATAGCAATGCTACATTGTAATAGTAGGCAGAATATAACAAACAGGTTTTCTACGCAAATATTTTGTGACCAAATCCTCACTTTTTTTCACTTAATGGTCGTAACAAAAGAAATTTTTTTCACTAATATTTTTTTTTGCTCATAATTTAAGATTAAGATTATTTTTTCGAAAATTCCTAAGACACGATTCCGGACAAAACCATTACGGTTCATTTTGAGCCATCAATGAAATATGTTGGACTCTCCATGCTTCCAATCGTAAACGAGTTTTGCACGCATGTCATATGGCATAAACATGAGGAGTGTTTATTTATGCTGGCGTGTACAAGTATTGCAATCTCCAAGGTCGACCACGATAAAGCTTCGAACGTAGCGAAAACATGAAACGTAGAACGAAAACATGAAACGTAGCTTCGTTTCATGTTCCATGCCCACTAAAATGGTTGCAGACATGTACTGTCCAGGAAACGGATTATATTTGTGAAAAGGTGGCTTTTTTGTTTAATGTTAGGAGGTACACAGGCCTTTATACAGTACTACTTTCATCTACTGTCACAACTAAGTCACCCTTCTGACATATGTAATTGTGAATGTGAGGGACATCTAAATATTTAGATAACGGAAATGGAGATCTAGTTTGCATGAATAATGTTAATTTACTAAAAACCCATAGTGGTAACTGCCAGGCAGCTCATACTTGCCACATTCAGAAGTTTAGTCAAGGTAAACACCAATAAAAATAATTTATTGAAATCATAACCTCAGTTGTATAATTTATGAGGAAGTGTTAGATTAAACAATAATATAATTTCCCCACCCTGCTGATATAATATTCGCTAAGGGCATGGTCACATTTCCAAACCGGCGCCCGACCGGGTTGTTTGCGTGAACGAAAAATAGACAATTTGCATTAAGAGTACACAAAAATAGTGCTAAAACTTTTTTTGTGTTTCGCTGTCTTATATAATAATTTTCGTTCCAAACGACTGCCCGGCCGGGCCCCGGGTTGGGAAATGTGACCGCGCCTTAACATAAACTACAAGACTTCAGTATTGTCCTGCCAGTCGTGTAGTGTACACGAGGTGAAGCCTGGATAAGACAGTTTAGCTTGCCAAGTACAAAGTACAAGTTATTCTTCAAGACACTCTTGGAACGAGACAGCAGTTAAAAACTTGCCAACTTGCACATGAAAAGTTAGATTTACCAGTTACCCAGAATGTAATGGTTTGCAATGTTCTCAGACACCACATTTTCATGTCATATCTTAGACACAAAACTTCCAAGGCTAATTCAGCTTTGAGGAAGACATTTAAAGTTACAAATACAGATATAACTAGACTTTCTGATTCAACAATGATATTATAGAACAATGTCCTTAGATAAAGCTTTGACATGGCTGGGCTGTATTGAGAAGTTGATTTTTCAAAGTTGAAAGTTGTAGATAGATTTTTTTGTTGGATTCTGTGGCTTTGTAACAAGTATCTGGTTCATTCTGTATGGTTTGATAATGCTGCATTGAAAACCAGTATAAGAAAACATTTGAATTTTGAAAACTGACCAGTATGCAAATCTGTTCCTGCCTTTGTTCTAGAGGCTAGACAGTCTGGGGTCTTTATGAGTTCATGCAGTTATGGGGGTCAATTTACCATCCAAACTAAGGGATCTATTGTTCTTTCCAAGGGTAAGAAACCCATAGGTTTAAGACAAGGCTATAACTATGTAGAGTATATGGCCAACAGATATAATCCATGATGGAAATGAAAAAAGGATCTTATTTAAAATTTCATAATCAATGAGCTCGAGAAAAAAATGTATAATTTTGTCAGTCGGAATGGTTAACATCATTTGCCGATGGTCTAAGTACTCTCGTCATGGATAATTATCATTAAGTACCTTACTACACTATACATACTAATAATGAAGTAACAAGAATACAATCAACTAAAATTGAATATATGTTTCATGTCAGATGTTAAAAGAGATGCAAACTACGATGCGCACGCCAAGAAGGAGAAATGTCGCAGACTCCGCAAGAAGCTGTGGCAAACCGCTGGCCTGCTGGTCAGCCTGGTAGTCATAATAGCAGTGTCATATTTAGCAGGTACGTCCCTTTATTCAATGTAAGTTTAGTATTATCTTATTATTGGTTAAACCTTTTGGTTTTGTAATCCAGAGGAAACGGGGTACCGGTGTGTCCTACCACCTTTTTTACTTTGTAACTTTCGGGTACAGAAGTATTGTTTTGGGTGGATTTGTGTATCTATCGGTACAGCTTTAGTTGCATGGTGTGTCGGAGGTAATTTTGACAGGCATGCTTCGGGCGCTAAGGCTGCATATGATTCAACACACGCCGATTGAAAAGAATGTGAAAGGATTTAGGAAGTGGTTTAATACTAAATTGAATTACATCATATAATCACCTTAGAGTTCCACTACATTCACAAAAAGTACTTCCCGGAGGTCTGTAAACCTAAATTTTAAATAAAGTTTAGAAGTTTGAAATCTCAAATTTCTTGTTTGGTACAGTCAAAGTCAGCAGTCATTCTGAGGAGATTGCCAAGTTGTCTGAGATAATCAAACTTAACAGAAGGACTGGAGGCCGTAAGTAACGTTGCTTCTGTATATATTAATTAAGAACTTAGTAGCTAAATTGTTTCAAATTGTTGGTAATTTTGTATATTTCAGTCTGTATTTATCTATAAAGAAAATTCTCATGTTTTGATTTAGACTGCATAATTGTGACGGTTTGGAAGTAAAAGAAATGCAGACATATCTGTGAAATCCGTTTTCTTTGTCAGGGTCTGTTAAGCCACAAGTACATCAAGAAGAAAAAGGAGAAGATGGGTTAGCTGGACCACCAGGTAAAAAAGGCGCTAGGAGGCTTTCCGCACCACCAGGAGTAGGGGGGCCCGAATGGCCAGTTTGTCCCGGGCTTCCTGGACCTCCAGGAGAAAAGGGTGCTCAGGGGCCAACTGGACCCCAAGGGGAAAAAAAGGAGCAACGGGGTCAGTTGGATCGCCCGGGCTCCCTGGACCTCCAGGAGAAAAAGGAGCTATGGGGCCAGTTAACCATGGGCCTGTCGGGCCTCCTGGACCTCCTGGAAAGACAGGTCCTCAAGGGCTGATAGGTCCTCAAGGGCTGATAGGTCCTCAAGGGATGATAGGTCCTCAAGGGCTGATGGGTCCTCAAGGGATGATAGGTCCTCAAGGGATGATGGGTCCTCAAGGGCTGATGGGTCCTCAAGGGCTGATAGGTCCTCAAGGGCTGATAGGTCCTCAAGGGCTGATAGGTCCTCAAGGGCTGATGGGTCTTCAAGGGCTGATAGGTCCTCAAGAGATGATAGCTCCTCAAGGTCTGATGGGTCCTCAAGGGCTGATAGGTGCTCAAGGGATGATAGCTCCTCAAGGTCTGATAGGTCCTCAAGGGCTGATAGGTCCTCAAGGGCTGATAGGTCCTCAAGGGATGATAGCTCCTCAAGGGCTGATAGGTCCTCAAGGGCTGATAGGTCTCCCAGGGCCACCCGGTCAGCCAGGCCGAATGTCCTGCCCCGCTGAACCACCTGAACATTCTCAACCCTCAGTACACTCGGAGTCAATTAACAGTGAGTCTGAGGTTAAGTATTGGTTTAAAGTTAGTAGATCTTTTAATTCTTAACCTTTAGTAATAACTGCTATAAGTCTATGATAATATATGTAATATACTATGTACTGTCACCATAATTCATTCTTAGGACTGCAAGTGTGACATGTGTGGTGGAAATTTGAAATAAACCAATCTTATTATATATGTTTATCAATCAGTGACATTTTAGAAAGATAGAAAACGGGTACCTCCAAATTTTTGACGTCCATTATACGCCTTGATCACGGAGTGACCTAGTCTCGCGAGAACACGAGAGGAGACTAAACCGAGACTTGGTCAGTTCCCAGCCTTCATTACGATTCATCCCAGCACGTTCCAACTGGTAGTGGACTGCCTCCCTGGCCTTTCTTGAGTCGCTTTGAGTTCATGTTCATCAGTCTGTTCCACTGGGGATCTTTCTATAGATCGCCAGAAAGGTAAATCCGCACTTAGCCAACATGAACTCAAAGCGAGCAATATTGTTACTACCGGCACTATCTCGGACATCATCACAATCAAAGCAAGTCTCGATCTAGTCTCGTGTTCTAAAAAAAAAGTTCTCTCCAGGCGAGGTCACTCGTCGAACATCTGGAGGTACGTGTTTGCTACCTTTTAAAAAAGTCAATGAATATTCTACTAGCTTGAGTCTGTACTTCTACTACATGGGCAAACCTCTAGTCATTTGAAACCTGGCCAACAATAAATAAGCTTGGTTCCGTTTCTTGATTGCAGTGTTTTCCCAATACTATTGTATATCGTCGGTCTAAAGGCACACATATGGTTCAAAAAGCCTTAATAAACGCACCTTGCTATTCTAATCTAATATTTGTTTCTAGCTTCTTGTCCTAGACGTTATAGCAAGTGGGGAGGAGCCTGCTACAAGAGCTTCGTCGGCATTCGCAGGAAGACCTTCAGCGATGCAATGAAGATCTGTCGCAAAGACGGAGGCACCCTTGCCATGCCCAGAGACAACAATACCACCGCCTTTCTGATCTCCACAGTGCCTCGAGGGTTCGCTTACTGGATCGGCCTGCACGATCAGCGTGAGGAAGGAACGTTTGAGTGGGTTGATGGTTCTGTACTTGGAAAGTACAACTTATGGGCTCCTAAACGACCATCGAACCAAAATGGAAATAAAGATTGTGTCGCTTTTGTAGTGCTCCTAAAGACAGAGTGGTGGTCTAACAGACCATGTGACAACCACCATTCCTTCATTTGCCAGACCACTCAAGGTATATCACCGGAAAACTAAATCATATTGTTTGACATAAAAAAAGGTTCCACTACCTCATACCTTCGCCAAACGTTGTATGCTATATCATATCGTATAATATCGTGCTAAACCACATACATGCATGCACACAAAGGCGAGGGTAAACATAACTATCTTGTTTTCACGACCAAAATGTTTTCACGACCAAAATGTTTTCTGAATATTTTCCGGATGTTCTCGTTAGAGAGGGGGTGGTATAAGATGATTAGGATGTTTTCTGAATATTTTCCGGATGTTCTCGTTAGAGAGGGGGTGGTATTAGACTATTAGGATGTTTTCTGAATATTTTCGGGATGTTCTCGTTAGAGAGGGGGTGGTGTTAGATGAGCTAAATGTTTTCTGAATATTTTCCGGATGTTCTTGTTAGAGAGGGGGTGGTGTTAGATGAGCAAGATGTTTTCTGAATGATTTCCGGATGTTCTTTTTAGAGAGGGGGTGGTATAAGATGATCAAGATGTTTTCTGAATATTTTCCGGATGTTCTTGTTGGACAGGGGGTGGTGTTAGATGAGCTAGATGTTTTCTGAATGTTTCCCGGATGTTCTTTTTAGAGAGGGGGTGGTATAAGATGATCAAGATGTTTTATGAATATTTTCCGGATGTTCTCGTTAGAGAGGGGGTGGTATAAGATGATCAAGATGTTTTATGAATATTTTCCGGATGTTCTTGTTAGAGAGGGGGTGGTATTAGGTGAGCAAGATGTTTTCTGAATGATTTCCGGATGTTCTTTTTAGAGAGGGGGTGGTGTGAGATGTTTTCTGGGTCTTCTCGTTAGAGAGGAGATGGTGTTACATATAGCCAAGTTGTTTTCTGGATAGTTTTGTTGAGAGAAAAGGAGAGAGAGAGATAAAGACAGGATGAGAGAGAAAGAGAGAGCAGTATCATAACATCAAATATCACAGCATGTCAACCAGAGCATGAGATAGAACAAAGGACGAATCTCATATAAAGTCGGGGGGGGGGTGTATTAGATGATTAAGATGTTTTCTAAGTTTTCTAAATGTTCTTGTTAGAGAGGGGGTGATATTAGATGAGCAAGATGTTTTCTGAATATTTTTCGGATGTTCTTGTTGGAGAAGGGGTGGTGTTAGATGAGCTAAATGTTTTCTGAATATTTCCCGGATGTTCTTGTTGGAGAGGGGGTACCGGTGGTGTTAGATGAGCTAAATGTTTTCTGAATATTTTCCGGATGTTCTTGTTAGAGAGGGGGTGGTGTTAGATGAGCAAAATGTTTTCTGAATGATTTCTGGATGTTCTATTTAGAGAGGGGGTGGTGTGAGATGTTTTCTGGATCTTCTTGGTAGGAGTAGGGGCTGTACGAGCAACCTCCATGGAGGTAGCTCGTGCAGCCCCAAGTGATACCTCTGCAGAGCTCCGCGACAAAACAAGTCAATTCGCTGGTTGTCGATCACTGTTGAGTTTTGCTTTTAAATCTATCACCTCTGCGTTTAAAACAAACCAATTCGATGGCTGGCGTCAGTTTTGTATAGAGCTCCGTGGATTTTAAGCCAGTTCAATGTGACTACTAGACTTTGTAACGTACCAGAGGCTCTCGCAAACAAACAAGACTTCGCAGAGCTCCATGGAGCTGCTCGGACAACCCTAGTTCCGTCATACAGAGCTCCGCGACAAAACAAGTCAATTCGCTGGTTGTCGTCAATGTTGAGATTTCTTTTAAATTTGTGAGCTCTGCGTTCAAAACAAGCCAACTCGATGGCTAGCGTCAGTTTTGTATAAAGTTCCAAGGATGTTAAGCCAGTTCAGTGTGACTACTAGGCTTTGTAAGGGACTGTACGATATTTACCGGGGGGGGGAGGGCCGGTCGTCTGAGGGGGGAGGGCCTAGGAAAAAAAATTTGAACCGGGGGGAGGGCCTAGGAAAAAATAATTTTAATTTGGGGGAGGGTCTAGGTAAAAATTTTTTCCAACATCCCTTTAACTCTACAACGTTTTTATACACGTTCAAAACATGATTAAACGTCTGTCCATACATATCGTAGCGATTTTCAGGTCACTGGAATCGGCAGAATTTTACGTTCCAATAATATCCATCCCTATTATCATAATGTTTGGACTTGTTTGTTTTGTATGGAGCAAATATGTAGTCTCTCTGAATATTGTTCCTGTATACTAAAGGTTTAACGAATTAACTTGTATTAACGAACATACTTTTCAAGTTAACGATATGCATATTTTGCTGTGTAAATTTATCGGTGTCAATATTGTCAAAGGTAGTCCGGGTACCATCTATTTGTATGCCAGGGCTCCCATACTCTCCCCTTAGAATTTCTAGAATCCCTCTAAGAAAAACTTTAAAGAATTTATTAGGGGGGAGTATGAGAGCCCCGGCATACAAATAGGATAGCACCCAGGCTATGTCAAAGGCATATTCAGTATAGGATTACAAGGCCAAACATTAACAAAATAACGTTTGTTCTTCATGTTAAAAGTCCTTTCATTCTTGAACTGACTGTCGAGATCTTAAACTAAACAAGAAGAGATGTTGATGTTGATGTCAATAATTCTCCTTATTTTCGACACTATTCATTTCACTCTCAGAATGCACCATACTCAATAGCTACTTTTTATTCAAGTAGCGACTCTGATATGTGTGCATACATTCAGTACTCAACAACTAGAACTATTAAACAACTAAAACAAACATAGATATGAAGTCGAAATCTCCAAGCAGATTCCTATCGGTGGCAAAAAGTCGACAGTATCAGGCCAGGCAGTACTAGTATCCATTAGCCAGAGGAGCTCCGCGGCCACCGACGGGTGGGGGTCAGGACAAAAAAAACGGCCATATATAAAAAGGTAACGATCATTCCCCCACAACCTCTGCTTGGAGAGTAACGAAGTCGACTTAATTAAGCCTTGAGGCTAACCGACCAGACTACACACCTTTGTCACTGGTAATATTCCCCAGCTCTTGCGCAACGGTCTGCAAAACAAACGAGGTGTCATTAGTCTTGACAGGTGAAAACTTACAATGGTTTAGCAAACAAACTCCGGGGAAACCTGGTGAGCAAACGTATCAGGGGCAGCCCTAGCTCCGTCAGTAATATAAAGCATGAAGAGCTCTGCGTCAAAACAAGTCAAATTTGTTGGTTGGCGCGTCACGGTTGATATTAGACCTCTTTGAGCTCTGCATTCAAAACAAGTCAATTCGATGGCTGGGGTCACAGGTTCAGTTTTGCACTCTTTTGACTTTTGGATTATGGCACGTTCACACCTAGTTCACAACTGTGCATGGCTTGTTTTGTGTGCGGGTGGCCGTCTTGATTAGGGCGGATGATGGTTGTAAAATACAGGACAATAGGTGCCACCCTGCATGATCGATCACACAAAATTCTGGGAAAAAGCATGTTTGTTTGGACTTGTTTGTTTTGTATGGAGCAAATATGTAGTCTCTCTGAATATTGTTCCTGTATACTAAAGGTTTAACGAATTAACTTGTCTGGTCACAGAGCTGTTTGTGACAACTCTAGGAGGGCTATTTTAGCAGCTCCGCGGCTAATTTCCGTCTCGTAAACGGTCGTCGCCTTTTGAAACGGTCGATGCCATATCGCAGACCGGCTAACTTTATGTGTATCAGAATGGTCCATCCACACCGTGATGTTTTGTGGCGTAGAGGTTAGGGTAACGGGTTTAGGTTATGGTTTTAGGGTTTGAATCTGAGCTTGCCCCTTTTTTTACTAATATTTACAATTCGACATGACCTTTCCTTATACTTCCAATTGGAATATTACTTTTTATAGTGTATATCACTTTTTAGTCGTTTGTGGACCCCCAAAATAGTTATCGTTCGCTTCTACACCTAGTAGAAACTCGAGACGGAAAATTGACGCTCCGCGGTTGGAGCTCCGTAGACTAAATTCTTAATTTGTCTCAGGTTACAGAGCCCTTTATATAGTGAATGAATTAAAGACCTTTATTGTACAACGAATTGACTTATTTTGTCGCAGAGCTCTGCTGGGGTATTGCGGTACGTTACAAAGCCTAGTAGTCACATTGAACTGGCTTAAAATCCACAGAGCTCTATACAAAACTGACGCCAGCCATCGAATTGGTTTGTTTTAAACGCAGAGGTGATAGATTTAAAAGCAAAACTCAACAGTAACGACAACTAGAGAATTGACTTGTTTTGTCGCCGAGCTCTGTGCGTGCTTTATGACCACGGAGCCAAAGCGAGCTGCGCGAGCAGCTCCATGGAGCTCTGCGAAGTCTTGTTTG